TTAACAGCATTTACTTGTACTTTTACTTTCAATACTTAAGTACATTTAATATCAGAAAATTAATTTTGATACTTAAGTACAATAAATATCAGATACTTTAAGACTTTTACTCGAGTAGTATTCTAATAGGTGACTTTTACTGGAGTAATTTTCCAGTAAGGTATCTTTACTTTTTCTCAAGTATGGCTTTTGGGTATTTGGGTACTTTATACACCACTGGGTGTTGGTTTGTTATGCTGAAGAAGTCAGAATTTTCTGTTTATCTGAAAATGTCCAAAGCACCAAATTTGGACGGTGACAATGCAACTATGTTATGATACTTCGTAAAATGTATTACTATATTGTAAATTAAGAGTAGGCTTAGGATAGGATTACACTAAAGTAAAAAAAAACTAGGCTAGAAATGTAATCAAATTAGCATAATGGTCAACTAGCTTTCAACTGTATCTCTTTATTCAGCAAATGGAGCTGAACTGCAATATTTCCTATCGCAGACAAATGATCCGCCTCTCAGTTGTGTATTACTTCTCAAATTGGGACATGGCAGAGTGGATTACCCCACTTATGCCATAACCACTTAGCAGCACTCATAAGTTTGATAACAATTGATTAATTATATTCTACTAGTTCTAAGTTTTAAAAGATTTCAAATAAATGGTTGGTTGAAACCAATTTGATACAGACTACGATCCAATAAGTGATTGAATTTGTATCTAACCGTTGAAACTAGCAACCTGCGAGATAGCAGTGTCGGATTAGAACAACTGCCAACCTCCGGTGCTGATAAATTAAGCCAACAGGAAGTGCCAAAAATTGCAGTTTCTCAAATGGCCACTTGAGGCTGACTCCAAAAGCGAGTCGATCCCCATAGACCCCTATGTTAAAATGCCCAACTCTACTGCAGTACTACCACAGCTTACTGCCTGCTACAAAAAAGTTTCCGTTCATGACAACTCTAGAGGGGATGAATTTTTATACAACTCACCTGTTTAAAATTATATTGAGGCTTAAAGTTACGCCTAATTTAGGGTGTGGCCGCTCCAAGTGACAGGTGGGTGCCATCACAGGTGGCTATCCGCTAGCTCTCTGCTAGCTATCTGAACGCAAAAGGCACAAGAAAGAGTCGGCTGTGTAACCTTTTCTCGATAAGTAGGCTAGATTGCAAACAAGCCTATTTTTTTGCTAGGTAAAATTAGCATCCCAATTATTTTCACAGTTAATGTGAATTATAGATGCATCTTGCTAACCAAGCTAGTCAGCAAGCAGTAGTGTTAGCTGGTTACTTAGCATTGTTTATGCTAACGACGGTACCTAGCCTTGCAGGGCCTCACTCCTCTCCAATCCACCCTCTCGTCCAAATATGGTCACTTTTATGGTCTATGGTTTAGCTCAGTGGTTGTGCTTCTGCTTCAGAACTGTGCAGTTATCTGACTGTAATGCACACCGTTCAGCCAATCAGAATCCAGTTCTGGTTAATACTTTATAACGTGGCCATTGTAGAAAGTGTGTGGATACGCTTTGTGTACTAGTGTGTATTACCTCTTTCTTAAAGATTGCGCTCTTCCTTCCAGTCTTTTATAATTCGGCGAGGCTTCCCCAACATGACTGATAATAGCTTAATTTCAGTGGGAGACCCTCTTGTGAAAAAAGCCCTTTCACATCTGGTCCGTTGCTCAGGACAGCTGCCTGCTCTGCTGCAGCACTCAGTTTCACTGTGAATTACCACTTCCCTGCGCTATCAAATTTCTCAGCTGTGGGGTTACCGCATTTGTTTTGTAGACTCATCCTCCTCACCTGTCCATCTTTTTGTAGGCGGATGAGCTTGAGCGTCAAATAGCCAATTGTGTCTAATTGTTGTCGGCCGGAGCAGCCGCACAAGTAACAGGAACCTGAAAATTGAACTGTGAGAGGATTACCGTGCTGCAGGGCTGCCAGATGGCGCCTGGAATTACCTGTAGAAAATTGCAGATAACCATCCTCCTTTAAGCCCCATGAGAGCTGTGGGCAAGACGACAGTGATGTAGCATGTGGTAGCTCAGTTAGCACCGCTAGCTTTGAGCAGTGGTTCTGTTTGGTGGGGAGGGCGGCCGACAAAACGCCTGCTCCATTGCACTAATAGAACAATGACTCCCACTCGAAGCCGTTCAGTGGTTTGGCTGCCTCTGACACTTCTGAGAACAATGGCTGTTTTCATCAACAAATCAATTACAGCCACATAAACAACAGGATTATGTTTTCATAAATAACAGTGCATGATTCATAAAATTCGCAGGCCCGTTGGAGAAACCCCAGAGTATTATTTCCTCGCTGAAAGTCCCGCTCTGCGTCCAGAGGACTTTGTGAAAGTGGCAGGCGCCACCGGAGCTGCGAGCAGCGCTGATGCAGAGCGGATCTCAGTATCTCGTCCCCGAACCGCTGCCATTTATCGGCCCGGATCGCTCGGCTCCGTAGCCGCCGCCCCTTCCGCACCGCAGCAGCTTGCATGCGACTTCCAACGTCCACGTGTTTACAGGGCGGGAAGAAGGAAGAAGTCTCAGTCCTCAGTCAGAGAACAAGGGAACTCTTTCAGCATGCCACATGTGCCCGGCCTGGGAAGAGCATGTGTTTATATTTACTGTACGTTATGAGGTCTTGGGCACACGCCACCCGGCTGTTTCACTCTGGGCACCGAGGTTTTACTCCACCCAGCCCCAATTAAGGAGCACAAGGAGCTGTTTGATTCCCTTCATACACCCAACATGACAAATAACTGTATTGTATATTGTTTGATCCCCTTGGCTGCCATGACTCTGTACAACACACCGCCGCTGTGCCATTGGCTGCTCTGTGTTATGTCTGTTCTGAGGCAGTAATGATTTGTATAGACCATTGCTAACGAAATGTGAATTGCAAGACTTCTGCGAGGCTGGGACCGCAGCCAAGGCAAGTGGAGCTTGGGCGTTGGGAGAGTTGGAGAGGGGTACCGGGTTTATATGGTCGGGGCGGTTTCGGGGGAGAGGTTTTAGGCTGAGTTGTTTAACTTCGATAATATTGGATATCGTCCAGCACAGTGGGCCAGGGAGTCCGAAATCGGGTAGGAGGGGAGCTGGAGAGTAACTGCTGCTAAAGTTTTTTCATTGGGATCGGTGCAGGCGCTGTGCAGATGTTGCCCTATAACTCTGGAACATTCTGTGGTCATCAATTACATTCCGTGGTTATCAATTATCCGTTTCGCTCTTTTCAAACAAAGGCATCCCACGCATTCATAGCTCTTCAACTCTCGAGAAGTGTCCTGGCAATAGGTAGCCAGGCACAGAAAACAAAGTGCTAAATTAGATTTTGCTATCTCTGTATTGCTATATATATATATGAGAGAGAGAGAGAGAGAGAGAGAGAGAGAGAGAGAGAGAGAGAGAG